TACTCATACTTTTCACACCTACCCATTCAAGATCTCACATGTTTTATACTTTTATATTATTACTCCATATTTTCACTTCCTACACACGCAATTTCACACATTTATTCTTTTACATAATCATGTATCTTCACAACTATACAGTATTTGTTTATAACGCACATCTTCATACATATTACTACTACACGTCTAATAACTATGAGCATAACGCTGAGCTATCCTTTTGTACAAATGCTCACTCATTCGTAGAGTGAGTACAAATAATAATAATAATAATTTTTTTTAATTATCGCGAAAATTGCGAAATGGTATGAGACTTTTCTATTTGGTATCATCCGCTCTACCTGCTCACAAGAGATAATATGGTTATTACCATGTATGTGTATGTGTACGTGTACGTTACAAATCCAATGGCTCCTACTATTACACATTTGCACACCTGCACCTCTACTTTATGTCTATACAATTTCACACATTTATTTTTTTCATTCGGTCATATATTTCCATATCTACATATTTATATCTACATATTCAACATATCCTACATCTTCATATGCCTTCACATTTGCGATTTTACACATCGGTAAATCCCCGCACCTTTTATACGCTCGGGTAATTTCACATATTTATTCTTTTACGCAATCGTGCATCTTCGCACTTACACACTCATACTTCCGTACGCTCACATATTCGCTGTCTTATATTTTTACAATTATTTTTTTGCATATATACGCGCTCTTGTACGTTCACACAAATTAACACTCTTACTTTACTCTTTCATACTTTTTCATTTATTTCCGCATCTACACGCTTATATTATACCTTCACCCGTACACACATCTACTTGTCCTATATTTTTATATGTACTTTCATACACAAGCACTTGCTTTATCAAACTTAATTATATGTATTTTTGAATAATATATAATTTAATTATCCTCTTACTAAAAGAGGATATGATGTCAGTCAAAAAAAATTACCAATTTCTACTTGTTACTGTTACTTTTTTTACTGTTAGAAAAATTACATGCTGCTATTTCATATATCCACCAAAAAAATGTGCTGAAAATATGTGAGTTCTGACAAATGTAACGAAAAAAATTCTATTTTCTAAAAGTTAAAATATATGAAAATGGGGAAGAAGAAAGACAAGAAAAAGAAAGAAAAAAGATTATCAAATACAAACGTCAGAAAATAATACTTTAACATCTTCAATCCCAACTGTGAAACTCGTGATGTTGTAAAGAAGGCATAGAAGGCAAGAGGACGGCTCCGATCAAGTTATCCAACGGGTGCATCGGGATGGTGGACAAGAAGGAAGAGAGCTGAGAGAAATTTTTAATTGGCGAATTTATCCATTTATATTTCACGCCACTTAAAAAAGGAACAGCCGTACTTCGGCGGGTGAAAGTCGAGAAAATAAAAAAACTTAGGGACGAGCTGTGCGCTATATAAATAGATATAGACGGCATTGGAAAGCCATGAAGAAATAAAATGCAAAAGATGAGAGAAGAGATGAAGAGTTAGGTAAGCCGAGGAGGGGGGTTTTTGAAGAGGTGCGGAGGAGAAATGGCGGGAAATAAACGAAGTGTGGTAGACTGGACCGAGGCTCCCGATCCTACAATGCGCCACAATAGAGCGCCGATGGTTTTGCATATGAAAGAGGACCGAGAATGGAGAGAACGTGGAACCAAAAGCCCGGGAGAAGGGATAGGTGTATATAACGCGATATATTATATTGGACTAGAAAGATTACCTATCCCCCTAACCTATCCCCCTCGCCCCCCTTCATCCCCGAGTCTCTTTATGTCTATCTATCCGTCTGTTCCGTTACCGTTGGGTTCCTTTGCGGTTCCTCCGCTTGCCTCCTTAAAGGACCACTAAGATCTAGAGAAGGAAGGGGAGAAAGATCGTAAGCCCGACCCGGTGCCCAGGGAGGAAACTGCATTAGATAAAGAGGACGTTTTCGCGTTAAGATAGAGGTTCGTTTTTATTCGAGGCACGGCATGCCTTTTAAGATCTCGATCGTCTTCCTATCTTCTTTCCTGCTTTAAATTCTCTGCCTCTTTCATTGTGCTGCAAATTGACTATCCGTTTCCTGCTTGAAGAAGACATGCGTGCGACGCTGCGTATTCCAAAGAAGGCAAGGGAAAACGACAGTTTTCATCTTGGCATACAGGATTTCCCTTTTTAGAAACGTTAGCAAGATCGCGGGAGTTCCCTCGGTTTTCGAGTTTCAGATTTTTCGGCGATGTATTGTGTCGACTTCGAGTTGCTATCATAGTTGCTCCCGCGACATTATCCGGCTTACGTTGCTATGGATACAATTCTTTCACTTCTGAAGACGATATCGCATATTCACAAGATCTCTGTTACACAGTTTTGCAAAAAAAATTTTCGTAAAAGAATCTTCTAATCATTTTTATTTAGCAATAATTAAGAGATGATTTTCTTCTATTTTTATATATTATGTTGAAATTTCTAAATTATCACCATACAGTCCAAATATAATAAGCTTCATAAACTTTTAAGTTTCATAAATTTAATTTTTATTTCTTACACTTCATTTATTCATAAAATGTATTTTTATATCAAAGAACTATCTTTTTATTTTCAAAGAACTATCTTAAGATGTAGAGTAGAGACAGGTAACATGAAATATTAAAAATTTTTAAATTAATACTACTCTAAATGTATATTAATATTTGTAATTTACGGACTCTTAATTTTTATAGGACTCTTAAGAAAATCATGTTAGTTATAATATTTGATTAATAAAAGTCTTCAAAAATTAATTTTCCAATTTTACTGTTAACAAAAATAAAAATAAAAAATAAAAGGAATGAAAATGAGAGTCTGAAAAGTGGATGTAAAATGATTACTGTCAAATTTTTAAAATAGTAAGAAATAAAAATATAATAAATAAAATGCAAACTTGCTTATTTATATAAACTAAATCAGAATAAAAAAATATCGAATAAAAAAATTATGATTTATATCTTTGCTATGCAACGATAGTGTATAGAAAATAAAATTACATTATTATACATAAACAATAAAAGATAAACTTAGATCATTAAATTGTTATATAAAATAAACGTTATCTAAGAAAGTCGACAATTACATCAGGTCCGCCGTGCATTACGACACAATTTGCAGCAACTTTTAATGTTTGTCACTGAAGTGCAGTTGCTTTGATTAGAAAATAAGTGTTTTTGTTCCATTACTAATAGTCTATTCTGTATTACCTGCCTTTACGCTACATTCCTACCGTAACGAAAAAAAAAAAAAAAAAAAAAAAAAAAAAAAAA